ACACACACACACACACACTACATCCAGGCATCTCATGGTCAAGACTCCAGAAATTCAACACAAGAATAGAATCCTAAAAGCTATTAGGGAAAAGAAACAAATCACCTATAAAGGAAAGCCATCAGAATCACAGCTGACTTCTCACCACAAACCCTTAAGTCAAGGAAAGCTTGGAGTGGAGTATTTCAAGCTCTGAAGGAAAACAACCTTCAACCCAGATTGATGTACCTCAGAAAACTATTTGTCAAAACTGATGAAGAAATAAAATAGTTCCATGACAAAGAACATCTGAGGAAATTTATGACCACCAAACCAGCACTCCAAAATATTTTGAAGGATATTCTAGAAAGAGATAACAAGGACTACAACTCCATGATCCCCAATGGAAAGAATACACCAGGCAAGGCAAATGGAGGGAAAGGGGAAAAAAATGGAGCGGGGAGTCAACAACAGGAAAATAACATGAAAAGGATAGGTTAATACATATCAGTTATAACCATCAATGTTAATGGTGTCAATTCACCAATCAAAAGACAAACTGGCAGAATGTATCAAGAAGCAGGATGCAACAATATGTTGCATAAAAGAAACATTTAATTCAAAAAGAAATTGATAGACTGAAAGCCAAAGGATGGAAAACGTGTCAGGAACTCAGAAATAAGCAGAGGTAAGATGAGGCAAAGAATAACTTAAGATTCATTGGGGTCAATAAAAAACCAGGAGATAGCACAAATGACATTAAAAGAAACTGTTCAGAAAATTTGCAAATAAAGTAAATTTCAAGCCAAGACTGATTAAGAGAGAGAAAGAAGGTCACTACATCATTGTAAAGGGAACAATCCAAGAGGAAGAGAGAACAGTTATAAATATATGAACAACAAATACCAGTGTACCCAACTATATAAAACAAATATTAATGGGCATAAAAAGTCAAATAAGCACTAATACAGTTGTATTGAGGGATCTAAATACCCCACAAAAAGACGGAACTAGAGGAAAAAAAATCAATAATGAAATATTAGAACTGAACCAAACGTTTGAATGAATGGACTTAGTAGATGTCTACACAGTATTCCAATCCACAACATCAGAATACACATTCTTCTCAGCTGCACACAGGATGTTTTCCAAATAGAACACACACCAGCTCATAGAACATGCTTTGTCATGAAAAACTTTGTCATAGAAAAACTTGATAAAAATGAAAAGGATGAAATCACAGCAGATCCTACAGAAATCCAGAAGGTCAGCTATACCTACATTGAGAAATTGTGTTCTAATAAGAGGGAAAATGCAGAAGAAATGGAGACTCCTAGATACATATGAATTACCAAAGTTGAATCAAGAAGATATAAAAATCCTAAATAAATATCAATCAATGAAATCGAAGATGTAATTAAAATCCTACCAACAAAGAAAAGCCCAGGTCCTGACATTCACTACTGAATTCTACAAGAAATTTAGAGAAGAACTAATAACACTAATTCTTACACTGTTTAATAAATTTGAAAGGGGAGCAATATTCCCAAACTCATTCCTGGAAGCAAGTATTACCCT